AACTCGGGCCTATATGATAGGCCCTATATATAAAATTAAAATAGATAAATATTATAAAAAAATACTATGAATACTCGAACTTTGGTATCTATTCCATTCCATACATTACACTAGCACTAGATATAGATCAATATGATTCACTTTGAAGATGCCTTGATGGTGAAATGGTAGACACGCGAGACTCAAAATCTCGTGCTAAATAGCGTGGAGGTTCGAGTCCTCTTCAAGGCATACTATTGAGAATGCTCTTGGAATGTGCAATTTAACAAGAAGAAGAGAGCTCGGGTCGATCAAATCTGTATAGAAATACCGATTTGGTCGATCCGAGCTCTTTTAAGCAATTAGGCAGCGGATCGCGATCGCGCGATCTTTCCCCTGTTACATGAATCCAATTTTCATTTCATCTGGGAAAAGCCATTTTTTTCTCAACAAAGTCTTTGTCATTTGATCAAATAGTGTTCCATTAGACAAGAACATATTTGATAAATAGTGATAACTCTCGGATAGAGTACTAGAACAGAAAGATTCATTAGAAAATGAACCCTTATTTCTAAGCCATCTCTGACGATGACTCACAAATTTGAAGTGCTTTTGTTCCTTCTTCTTTATAATAAAATCGTGTGTTTTTTTATATCGAAGTAGATGCTCCCATTGAGAAGTGTGGGAAGTAAGAAGCGCCTTTGAAAATTCTTCATCTGCAAAAAATTCTCTACGTGAAAACAAAGATCCCGTGGACTGCTCTTTGAATAGGAAAAAGAGTGGATCTGCAGGGTCCCAAATAAATTGGCTTATTTGAAAAAAGCCTTTGTCTTTGGAAGATTTATCTCGTGTCTTAGACTGCATGGTTTCACTCTGTAAGAACTCTGAATCATTCTCTTGAAGCTCATCCTCTTGATCATAAAGGATCCGCTCGCTACACAGAAAATCCCAAGGACGCCATAGTCTAGGAGCCCAAACTATGTGACTGAATAAATCCTCCTGTTCGTAGTTTTCATATAGAAATCTCTGATCAAGAATAGAAGAAGATCCATAATTTTGTTCTGATCCCAACAGATAGCCTTCTACTTTTAATAATTCTAATAAACCATGAACTAGATCAGAATCATTCTTAACGAGTGCATAGGAAGTGATCCCATTTTTTTCATCTCGGGGGAAAGACCAAAGATCTTGAGCAACCGATCCGGCAGAACAACTCAAAAGATAAAGAAGTATCGTAAATTTTTTAATGTTCCTTCCAAGTTCGAAGTACCATTTGTACAAATAGGAATCCGCCTCATTACATAATTCCTTCTTCAGATAGATCGATATAGCATCTACGGGGCAATTACTTATCAGTAAATTTTGTGCTACAGCCCTTCCTATCTGATATAAAAGGATCCCATGATCCTGAACCAAATTTAACTGTGATTGCAAATCCCAAGTTTGTCTATGAAGAGCGGCTCTAATTGTATTATTGTCTATAATGGATTTTTTCTGTGTAATACTAATTGATAGAACCTCATTGGTAAGTGCTAGAATATCTCCTATATTCGGCCCCATGGTTATAGACCCGAATCCGTTACTATGGAACAGTTTCTTTTCCAAATAAAATCCCCTAGTAGATGAAAGAGTAAAAAAGTACTTTCTTTTTTGTGGATTAACAAGCCTTCGTAATTTAATACACGTATTCAACCTTTTCGGAGCTATTAGAGCGGGATCCACTTTTTGAGGAATATGAGTAGAAGCAATAACAAGAATATTTCTAGTAGAACTTCTTACACAATTCTTTGAGAGATGGTTAACTAATAGACCAAGAGATAAGGAATTTGACTCATTCACATCCAGATTATGAATATTTGGAATCCAGATTATGCAAGGAGACATAGCTCTTGCTAATTCAAATTGAAGGGTAATAGATAATCGGTCTATTTCAGCCTTCATCTCCTTATCCATAGTTAGCGCATTCATCCTAGTTAGGATTTCCAGCTCGGTAGCAAGGTCAAAATTCTTATCGTCATCAATATTGTCGCTCTTAGTCAGATTGATATCGTCACTAGCATTAATATTGATACTATTATCAATATAGAAATCAGTCATAAATTTACGACTCTTATCTCGCAACTTATTCACAAATACCGTAATGAAAGGCATATAGGAGTTTGTTGCTAGGTATTTGACCAAATAGGATCGTCCAGTTCCTATAGAACCGAGAACTAAAATACCTCTAGAGGGGGATAAGTCTAAGCGGAGAGAAAAAGGCTTTCCACGACATGCTAAATGAGCATACGAAGTTTGTGGGTAAGTCATTGTCTGAGAATGAGCAAGTAATATGCGTCTTTCTGCTAAAAAAGATCTATTAAACTCATAGTTCATTAGATCCTTTTGATGAATGTCAATTAAGTATCGTAAATAAATTGCTCCCGGTTGGTCAATCATTGGATAACCTAAGTCATTCTTTAAGAAATGATCCCTGTCAGTCAGACTCGATGGAATTCTTTTTTCTGTTGTTAAAGTGGCTAGCTGAACCAAAAATTGTCTTTCTTCCTCATGAATTGAATCGCTGTTTACGATCCAGGATTCTATTTGATCATCAATCCAATTCGCCTTCACGTTTTCTCTTTTTCTTATCAATGAATAGAGCTCTTTACTTGTAGGACTGATAGAACTGATATATTGCATATTTCTATTTATAGAAACAGCAATTCCAGTTATCTGTTCAAGGATATTGAAAGATTTCTTCGTCAAACGTCTTGGTTTCACTTTCAAAGTAAGATGAATCTTGTTGAGACCGAAAACAAAACCTTGGATTCCTTCTAACAAACGTACGAATTGGTTAAAGCCAAATATAAATATATTATTTAACCAAAACCCATTTGATTCACACATAGGATATTTATCTACAAGTTTTTGAAACTCAATTAGATATGAGGGAATTAGAAAAGGTTTTAATCTTTTAAACTTGATATCTAACTCCCTCAAAGATCGAGAAACAAAGACAAGATTTATAATAACAAGATAACCAACACCAATAAGAAGGAAAAGCGTTGAAACGAAAAAAGCCCAACCACTTGGTGATCTAAAATGTGTTGATGTTTTAGTATTTCGTTGCAACCTTTCATTAGCTAGAAGACGGTTATGTAACCACTTACTTGAGATTTCACTTGTTATAAAAAAGGGCAACAATTTCATCTTAAAAATTTGCCATAATAAATACAAAATCTCCCAATAAATAGATATCCTACTATTTAATATTGAAACTATATCTATCAATAGAGAATAGAGATATTTGTACCCTGTCAAAGTAAAGAAGTTTGGCAAATTCATTTGGAAAAGATTTAATTTTTCTGATAAAATGGAAAAAAAATTCTCTCTATGAAAAGTTGTTGCCATCCGTCTTTTCTGAAACACAGCGCCTTTTTTTCGATTTTTTTTGTTTTGAAATGAAAAATATTTATAAGAACAGGGAATGTCAACCAAATCCATATCCATATTTAAATTAAAATTAGGATATTCTTGAAAGTGATTTTCTTCTGAATCATATAGATTTCTATTTAGATCTGAAAACGGTTGACAATAAGTTGTTTCCAAATTGACTATTTCTTCCTCTGTAGAAGATGTTCCAAAAGTATTTAGAATCAAATTAGGCATGACTGGATCGGATTCCCTTACAGAATTAAAAAAATTCTCAAAGTTATACCGTGGGTCACCATTTTTGGCAAAATCCTTAAATAAGGAATCAATTAGTGAAATAGTAGCTCTATCCCCAAAAACCTGTCTTTTTTTCCCACCACCTAAAGAAACTTTTTGATTCCCAAGGAACAAGCTATTTAGAAATTGCTCATAGAGAAAATACGAATTAGTATTCCGAGTCCTTTCCACAGAAAATGGAAATCTTCTCTTACAATCTAACCAAAAGTTAGAGTTAGGGCGAATATTAAAGAAGCGAAGTCTATTTGCTTTATAAAAAGCGGATATAAGTGAACTTCTTTCAAATAGGTTCATGGGATGAAACCCATTAGCCTTTTCATCAAAATATTTTGGTCTAGTAAGCAATGCATCAATCCTCTCTTTTGCTATATTATGAAACAAAAAGGGTGATCTTTTTGTTTCATTGATAACAAAGTTCGACGTACCAGACTCTTCCAACAAAAAGGGGTTTAATTTTTTTAAATAAATCATTTTAAACCCTATTGATTCCAACAACTGATTACAAAGTTGACCGTTCGGTCCTTGTAATTGATAGATATAGATTTCGGACCTCTGAACAGGACTAGTACCAAAACTTACACAGGAAAAACCAAGTGAATTAGACAAAAAGAAAAGCAACTTGATCATACAGTGAAATCCCTTCGTAAAAAAAAAACGAAGTGACTGGGGAAAAAAGAAGAAACGTACTGATTTGGACAACTTGGTAAAAACTAAAGGAACTAACTTATACACATTTTTTTTTACTTTGATTTCTACTTCCCTGCGAACCTTAGACCAATAAATCCATTTCTCAGTTATTTTATCAATAACATAAATACATAATTTATAAACTTTCTCAAACATCATTTGCAAATGGCCCTTTCGGACTTGAACATACATTTCAAAAAGTCTTTTCTGCTCATAAAGAAAATGTTTTGAATTTTCTTGTAAACTCTTTGCCCCATTTGACCATTTGGATCTATATGGATGACCCTGTTTTATTTTATATGTCATATGAGTTAGATGATTGAGAAGACCCGTTTCTTTTTGATCCCCTTGAATTCTCCTAATTCGATATTTGAAATTGTGATTGGATATATTTATGAAAACAAATTTATTTAATAGATTTCTTATGTACACATAGGTACTAGATTGCATTTGAATCATATTGTGAATGAATCTATATCTATATAGATTCACTGCTTCAATCCATACGCAGTTTTGGCCCGTTCGCTGAAAAAAAGAGTTATTCTCCTTATAACGAAAAAAAATAGGCGAAAGAGCCAACAAAGATTGATTTTTTGATTCAGTCCTAGTATTGAATATTTTATTCA